GAATGAAGCGAAAATGTCTCAAAATAGAGTTAATACGCCATTTTGGAACATTATAGCTTTTTTTTGGGTCAAAATCGAGCAAAATAATCCGAAAATGTAGAAAAAAACTTTGAAAAAGGTACAAAATGAAGAAAACCCAGAAAAAATACTGTATTTGTTCCGTAATTCGATGAAAATTTTCCAAAATCGAAAGAAAATAGTGCGAAATTGACGAAAAATGGACTATTTTGGAACATTTTCTGTTTTTTTGTCCATCGACTGCGCTAACAAGTTTTCCGAGAACGCTTAATGTCCAGAAATCGAGCAAAAATAACCAAAATGAACATGAATTTCAAGACAATTTTTTTAGTGCGAAATTAAACACAAAAAGTTCCCAAAAAAATAAAAAAATTCAAAATCTTCAAAGATATAAAAAAATCTACACCTAATCGCCAATGGACGTCAACCTGGCCTAAGCTTCTTGTTTTTGCAGAAAAAAAAAATTTGAAAAAAAGCGGTCGGATTAGCCGTGTTGTTATGGTTTCAGCACGGAACGGATATTTTATAAATTATTTATAACTTTATAAATCTAGAAATTCATTCTCAAAGGGATGAAGCAGAAGAAAAATCAGAGAAAAATTCATTTTTTTCTGGTCTCACGAGGAATGGCTCGAAGCTGTTTACTGTATGAATACTCCGCTTTTTCAAAAACAGTTCAAAATTGAACCGTGACGCACGTTGAGTCATTCTAAATGCGACCAGGAGATTTTGATTCATTCTCATCAAAAGAAGTGATGTTATATAAAGAATAAATGAGAGGTCCCAAAAACTCCGAAAATCCTTGGAATCGAGCCAAAATTTGACCTTTTGAAACTTTAAAATCAATCAAACAACCATCACAAACCTACAAAAATATATATATAATTTTTTTAATCGACTTGAAAATGATTTTTCTGAAGTTTGATATTCAATAATAAGACGATCAAAAACCCGGCAAAAAGCGACAAAATGAGAAAAGGAAGGATTAACGGAGGTCAGCACCAGGTGCACCTGGGCGTTTGATGAGTGGCACATCCTCCCACAACCGGCGGAGAATTATGATATAGATCTACCTCATAACGCTGTTTACCCAGGTAACCTAGGTATCTCTCAAGCAAAAACGCGAAAAATCTTGTTTTTCTCAAATTTGGAATTTTTCGAGACATTTTTTTCGAAACAAATTCGTTATAATTGAAGATTAATCGCCAATTTTTTTCGCACTTTAAATCCTGAAAACGATTTAAACGAGAACAAATAACAAAAAAACGAACTTTACGCCGTTACCAGTATTAAAAAAACGGCCAGCAATATTCGTAAATTGAAGAAAAAGAAAAAGTAATAAATTTTTATGAAGAAAAAAACGTATCATCTTGTCAAAATCAATCTATTTGAAAGACTGAAACACGTTTTATTAAACTATAAATGAAGAAAAGAAAGTAAATATTCAAAAAGATTGAAAAAACCCAAACTGAATTTCTGCGATATTTGCGCGTAAAACTGCGGTGCACACTCTGCAAACGCGGGAGAGACACACCGTAACCCGGGAGATTTTCAAATTATTCGCAAAGTTTTTTTCTTTTTTTGGAGGAAAATTAGCTTTTTAAATGTTTATATGGATGGGAACATCATGAAAATCAGATTATTTCACTGAGAAAAAAAGATGTCTGGTTGGGAATATCCAGAGTGGTAGGGAAATTGATGACGAAAAAGGAGAGAAAATGAGAAATCAAATCGCCCGAGAGTTGGCCGCCGCGTGGAGCTTTCGTGAGTTTTTTTCCTCCCTTATTTTTCCGAGAGTTTTGAGCTTTGAGCCTTTTCTCCTATCTCATGAGATTCATTGAAAATTAAAAAAACTCATGAAAAAGATCAAGAAAAAAGAAAAAATAAAAAGACGTCGATTTTCCCACGTGTAACGTCATTTCGGCGCCGTAAATTTGAAACAAAGAAGAAAGAGACCGCCGAAAAATGGCTGGAACATTTTTTTCGAATAAATTCACACGATTACACAGGGATCCGATGAAAGGTCTTGATAAAGACGTAAAAAGTCGAAAAATGTTGAAAAATTCCTTTTTGATCGAATTTTCGAGAAAAAAAATTCAGAAAAATTTATCCGCATGAACTTGGGATTGTGTGCTCCACGGATAAAACTTATAATTGAAATTTTTCAAATGAAATTTTTCAAAAATATTCCCATAGTTTTACCAACTTTTCGAGAGTTAAAATGCAAAAAAATTTGGAAAAAAATGTTTTTTTCAAAAAAATTGAAAAATGGGTTTATCAGTGGAGCAACTTATCCTTTGGACCATTTTTTTGGCAGAAAAAAAGTTTTTAGGTCAATTTTTTTCTTGCTTGAAGAGCTCAAAATTCGTTATTTTGAAAATGGGAAGGGTCCCTAAATCGCTTTGTTCGGTCAGGAACATAAAAATGTTCCAAAATGGAAGGTTTAAAGGATATTTGAACCAAAAAAAGGTTCATAAAGCCTTGGGAAAGCTCCTATATTTTCAAAAAAGCATTTCTGGACTTCAAAACCGGAAAAAAATTCAACAAAATCAAGCGAAAAATCTTGCGAAATCCAGAAAAAGCTCAATTATCAAGCTCCACGTGCCTTTATTGAGAAGAAACAGAGATCTAGAGGATATCAGGACGAAAAAAACGCAAACTGCGAAAGCAGAACCCTTCAAAGACGCGCGCGAAACGGATACTTGCGCAGGCAAAAGCTCGAAATGCAATAGAGCCCCCGGGGCCACGCGGGAACGTCTTTTATCCCGATTTGGCTTGGAAATTTGACCGACTCTTTGATTTTTAATCAAATTAATGCTCAAGGAGGTTAGGAAAAAATTCTGGAGCCTTTTTTCAAGAATTTTTAAAACTGCATTGGGCACTTCTCCTTTCTCCAGTCCTTAAAAGTCGTTTCGAAAATCCAAAGAAATCCAAAAAACGACTTTTTTTTATTCAAGGAAAAGCTTTCCCTATGTGAGACAAAGTACTGATCAGAAAAATTGAAAAAAAAATTATCATTTCAAAAAATAGTCCATTTATTCCTAGCTTCCTACTAAGAGCGTATCATATCAATAGAGCGCACTAGGAGCGAAAAAAATTGGAAAAAAAAATTATTATTTCAACAATAGTCCATTCATCACTAGCTTTTTACGAAAAGCGTATTTTATCGATGGAGCGCACTAGGAGCGAAAAAAGAGCTTTAGAGCTTTTTGAGCTGTTTTTTCAAAATTTTTTGAATCTTTTTCATTTCCAAGTTAAAAAACTTCCTATTTTTCGAGTTGTGCCAAAAAGAAAGCAAAAACTGTAGTTCATTCAACGTTCACTTTTCAAACCAGCCAAAATAGTGTGCAAAAGCGAGAGGATCAGACGCCTACAGAGTCATTTTCACGTGGAAAAATCATGTTTTCGTCAAATTTTTCTTCATTTTTTCCCGATTCAACCAGCCAGAACAATCTCAAAAGCATTGAAAGATGTGCAGCTGGCGCGAATCCAATTAAGCTCCGCCCCCTTTTCGAACGCCATTTTTGGCAAGGACGGAGGGAAATGAATGGACCGACGAGAGAGCATGCTCGTCCTGGAGGGCCGACAGACGGCTCGACGGTCGAAGAATGGAGATTAAAAATGATGGGACACAGAGATGTCAGGGTTACACTACCGGGCTCATTTTTTTCGCTGTTTTTTTTTTTTGGAAAACACGTCCGTTTCCCGCCATTTTTTTGCAATAAAAATGGATGGGTATGGAAAAATAGGTAGTCGAAGGAGAAGAAGAAAAAGCGCTCTGTTGACAACTTTGTGCACAAAATTATTAAAAAAATTAAAAAAATTACTGATTTAAACATATATATATATGGTCTATGGTTCTTTGGGAAAAAAATGATAAAAAAAATTGAAAATGTAAAAAAAGAAAAATTTTAAAAAAATGCAGAAAAAGTTGCTCCATTGATAGATTTCAAAAAAATTACATTTCTCCGAAAAATTTTCTTTCTTTTTTTCAATTTTAATTGTTTTTTTCTAAAGTTAGAAGGTTCAATAATCGATTCTAGTCATTTCGCTCCACACGAAAATAAAAAAAGAAACTATAAAAAAACAAGAATTTTTCACGTAAAAATTCGTTTATTTGGATGGAAAAAAATATGAAAAAAAGCTATTTTTTTATAGTGCACCAATGGAGAAAAAACCTAGAGAACAAAAAAAGAAGGCATTTTTCTTAATTTTACAACTAATTTTAAACTTTCAATCGATAAAATATATTAAAAAAAGAAACAAAACAAAAAAATTTATTGAAAGATAAGAAAAGTTGAGAGGCCTTGACCTGCAAATGCCTTCCACAGCCGACACAAAACGGCCCCATTTTGGTACGATCTCTCCTCTTTATATTTTGTTTTATGTTCTTTTTTCCGATTTTGAAGTTCATAAATAGCCGAAATTTATGAAAATTGATGCTTTTTTAACAATTTTTAATTCTAGAAGCTTCATCGTTCAAGAAAAATGGTGCCCTGAAATGGAAACGGCCAAATATTGATTATATTATTTTTCTTTTTTTGTTGTCTTATTATTTATTGATTTATTGATTGGAAAAACGGAAAAGAATATTTTTGAACGCATTACACATCAACTGTATTATCGAACAAAAAATTTCTATAAATAGGGACCGCAGGCCATTTTTTCAAAAAGATCCAAAAGAATATGTTCTTTACACTGTTCGATAGTGGAGATTGTCTATATTCATAATCCGTTTAGTTTTCGAAAAAAGGTCCACTAAGAAAAAAAGTTATGGCCAAAAAACTAGCGCGGCGTTCAACTGGAGGCATAATCTCACTTCTTTTTAGTTCATTTCGAGCATTTCTGGACCGTTTTCAATCGGTTTTCTGTTCTGAAAGGTTGTCAGAACTGAGCTTATCGTTTTGGCATGAATCTTCTGTACAATTGTCATAAGAATTTTTGATAAAACAATTTTAAAAAAAATAGAAATTTCAGGAAAAATGACCGACGCCTACCTAATAACCGGCGGATTATCCGACTTCGCCAATGAAATCATCATAAATCTTTCGAAAAAATCGATTCGAGCGGTGGTTTTGCATAATCATAATGAGAAATATAACAAGGTTTGATTTTTCAGTACCAATCCAAGCTTGAAAATTTCAGATAAGGATCGAGGCCAAAGACGCGGAAAATGTGAAGATTTTCAACGTGGACAGCCTCAACGAGGAGGCTATCACTAAGATTATCATCCAGGAGAACGTAAGTTGGAAAAATTTTCCGCCGCACGTGGAATGGCTATACGCGTCGCGGTCGCGTAGCGGTTATTTTAAAAGATATTGCAGTCAAAAAAGAAAAAATAAGAAGTCATGATGGGACTTTTTCTGCTGAAAAATCAAAAATCCGTGGCCGCACTTGGAATGGCTCAACGCGTCGCGGTCGCGTAGCGGTTATTTTTTAAAGATTTCGAGGTCAAAACGAAACTGTTTCCGCTGTAAAATCAAAAATCCGTGGCCGCACTTGGAATGGCTCAACGCGTCGCGGTCGCGTAGCGGTTATTTTTTAAAGATTTCGAGGTCAAAACGAAACTGTTTCCGCTGTAAAATCAAAAATCCGTGACCGCACGTGGAATGGCTATAGGCGTTGCGTTCGCGTAGCGCTTTATTTTGAAAGATATTGAAGTCAAAAAAGAAGAAATTGAAGTCATAATAGGATTTTTTGCTGCTGAAAAATCGAAAATTTGTGTCCGCACTTGGAATGGCTATAAGCGTCGCGGTTATTTTGAAAGATATTGAAGTAAAAAAAGAAAAAATTGAAGTCAAAGTGGAACTATTTCCGCTAAAAAATCAAAAATTCGTGGTCGCACGTGGAATGGCTTTACGCGTTGCGGTCGCGTAGCGGTTATTTTCAAAAATTTTGAAGTCAAAAAAAAAAGTGGTCAAAATGGATCTGTTCTTGCTGGAATATCGAAAATCCGTGGCCGCACGAGGAATGTCTCAACGCGTTGCGGTTGCGTAGCGGCTCTTGCTTTTCGACGCGTCTGTGCGAAAGCCGTTTCTAGTCGGGCGCGTTTTGAAGCTCAACTGTTCTGTTGTTCAATCATCATTCAAAAAATCGACCTTTCAGATAACTACCGTAATCGACTGCTCCCTGACAACTTTCGTGGTGAAATCGGCGCCTCTAGAAGCTGCTCAGAAACTTTTGCTGGTTAGTTCATTTTAATTGGGACTTCTCTAAACCCTCTTTTTCTTGTACACTATCTCATGAAAATCCCAAAAAAAAAACAACGATTTTTTTCAAGGGGATCACAAGCGTTCTGGATGCGGTCCGGAAAAGTGGGAGAATCGAAAAATTCGTGTTGATCAGTGGAGAGGAGGTGATTTTTTTCATTATTGATTTTTTAAATTACCTAATACACCTTGGTCGCACTGGGAATTGTTCGAAATTATGGTTTTTTTGAAGCAGCGCGTAAGTCGTTTCAGGTCGGGCGCAGTTCTTCAAGCCATTCCCCTTGCGACCAGAGTTTCAGAAATTATAAAATAAGGGGTTCTGCCTCATTTTCCTTCATCTTATATTCAAAAAAACAACCTACAGTGACACAGGTATACGGTAACAATGAGCGAAAAGTGGAAGACGAGCCCCTGACGCCGGTGGACTTTGTGGGGAGTGCTCAGATGTCCGTCGAAGCCATGGTTCACTCCTACGCCGTCAGCTACCGTACACCTACAGTAATCGCTCGGCTCTCGTCGCGTATATTCTACGATGACTTTGAACAATTTCATATGAACTTGGCAGTGAGCCACGGTGAGTTCCTTGGGTTTCTGGTCGCATGTGGAATGGCTCGAAGAGCGTTGCGTTCGCGTATAGACTTTTTTCCACCGCGACCGCAACGCGTCCTCCTCAATGAAAAGCCGTGGTCGCACTGGGAATGGCTCGACGTGATTTTTTAAGCAGCGCGTGAGTCGTTTCAAGTCGGGCGCGGTTCAAAAAAACTCTTTTTTAAACCGCAACGCGTCCTCCTCATTGAAAAACCGTGGTCGCACTTGGAATGGCTCGACGTAATTTTTTTAGCAGCGCGTGAGTCGTTTCAAGTCGGGCGCGGTTCAAAGAAAAACTCTGGCCTATCTGTTGCTCTCTCGCGTTCCCGTGCTGTCCTTCTATGACCTGGTGAGAGAAAAGAGAGCGCAGACAGGTCAGACAGTTTCCTGGCGAAGTTCTTGGAACTCCAGAGCGACTATAGGGGCCACTTAACCAACCCCTAAAGCTTGCAGAAGTGGTCCCTATATGGACTTCAGTTAGTGGCCCTTATAGGGGTCATGCTATTGGTCCCTATAGGGACTGCTGGCCCTCTCGAGACAATCCCATAAAATGCAGTTTTTGTTGAATGTTGGATCGTATACTTCCTTTCCATTCCTCTGAGTTGTCTGCGCTCTCTCTTCTCTAAGAAAATAGGAGTAATGACGTCACTGAGAGAATAGAGAGCCCAGAGAAACCAGATTTTTCAAAAAACTTTCATTTTTCGAAATTTTCAGGCTCTAAAGTCAAAACTTTGCGTGGATCGGAGGCCGCGGAAGCCGTTTTCCTCCTTTCCAAGGAAAATCCAACCGAACCGGCTGAAGTCTTCAATATTGGGGATTTCAAAAAATACAGCTTCTCGACATCTGTAAGAGCGTTGTTTGCATTCAGAAAATTCCTGAATTTATTCAGAAAGTGCCCAAAAAAAGCTTCCTGAACGTCGAGAAGCTCCAGAAGAGGATCAAGTGGGACCCAGAGGGCAACGAAATTCTGGGTTCCAATTTTCCAAATTATAGTCGCATGGGGAATAACTCAACACAAAAAAATGGTTGCGCCCGACCCAAAACGGGTTTCGCCTGAAGGCATTCAGAAGCATAGGAAGACAAAAAAAAAAATCGATTTTTGACGCTATTTTTAACGCGAATTTTTAAAATTTATCCATTTTTTACGAACTTTCTAGTCGCATCATGAGGAAAGACTTAACGCGTAAAAAATGGCTGCGCCCGACCCAAAACGAGTTTCGCCCGAAGACATTCAGTTGCATAGAAAGACAAAAAATTTTTGACGCAGTTTTTCAACAATTTTTAACGTGAATTTTCAAAAGTTGAAGATTTTGTCACGAAAATTTTTGTCGCATCATCAGGAATGACTAAAAACGTGAAAAAATGGCTGCACCCGACCCAAAACGGGTTTCGCTCGAAGGCATTGAGATGCATAGAAAGACAAAAAGTCGATTTTTGACGCAAGTTTTCAGTTATTCTAAACACTACTAAGGGGGAGACGACTCAGCACGTGAAAATTGGTTGCGCCCGACCCGAAACGGGTTTCGCTCGAAGACATTCAGAAGCATAGAAAGACAAGAAAAACGATTTTTGACGCTATTTTCAACGCGAATTTTCAAAATTTGAACTTTTTTTTCACAAACTTTCTAATCGCATCATGGTAAAAGACCTAACGCGTAAAAAAAATGGTTGCGCCCGACCCAAAACGGGTTTCGCTCGAAGGCATTCAGTAGCATAAAAACACAAAAAAGTCGATTTTCGAAGCTATTTTTCAGCTATTTTTATCGCTAATTTTTAAAATTTGACCATTTTTCACGAACTTAGTGGTCGAGAATGGCTCAAGACTATCGAAAAAATTCAAATTTTCGATTTTTTTTTCGAGCCATTCCAAGTGCGGCTTTGCATTAAAATAAGAAAGCTGTTTCCAGGAGTCCTAGACAACTGGGGTTACGCTGAAAAATTCACCGAAATCGGCCCGATTCCAATGATCTACGGTTCAAACACTTGGATCGGACGTCAATTTATCGATTTATTGAAATCGAAGAATATAGTTCATTTGGTAAGTTATTGATTGATTTATTTTGAGTAAAATTTTTTTTCTAGGTACCAGAAACCGAAGCGAATGAGGGGACAAATCTACGAGTTAGGGAAGAAATTTTAGAAAAAATGCCGTCTCACGTCTTCTTCTTCGGCGATGAGCCGAATCAAGGTGATTTTTTGGAAAAATTAAAAAATAGCTTCACTCTGAACCTCATAATGTTAAGCTAGCACAGTGGGAAGAGCTGCTGAAGTGCGTTTTTTGATAAATTTACAGTACTGGGAAAATTTTAGTGGTCACTATAGAGGCTCGCCAAGGACACTAAAGTGGCCACTAAACCCGCCTCTATAGTGGTCACTATTTTCCGTTCAAGTGGCCACTTCAGTAGTTTTTAATTCAGTATTCCTTCCAGTAACTCTGATAATTTTGAAACAAACAGATTGGACCAGTTATGTTGATCCATTGACCCCTAAAGTGGCCACTGTAATGTTTAGTGGTCTAGTAATAGCTTTTAGCTTAAGTGACTCCAGTGGTCACTTAAGAGGTGCCTTAAGGATCACTTGGAGAGGGCACTAAAGGGGCCACTAAAACCACCTCTATAGAAGCCACTTTTTGGGTCTTAGTGGCCATTATAGTAGTTTTAGTGACCTCAGACTTCTGAGAAGGTCTCTAATCTTTAACCCCTCAAGTGGCTACTAATTCGAATACTATAGTGGCCACTAAAACGTCGAAACCCTATAGTGGCCACTAAAACTTTTCCCAGTACAAAATGTTTGACTTAAAGAAAAATAAGGAAGTATAGGTATTGAAAAATATTGAAAAGTCACTATAGATCCCAAAAAAATCGATAAGATCCGATAGAACTGTTGAGGAAATTACTTAAGTGCTCGCTTGAAATTTAAATTTTGAAAACCTCTAACATCTAATAACAAGCAAATTATCCCAAATTTTCAAGACTCGAGCTAAAAAAATTACTAAAAAGTGTAATTTTTTGAACTCTCAAGTCCATTCACAACAGATTTCGCTAGTTTGACAAAAAAAGTTTCAATTTTTCAAATATTTAAAAAAACTTCCCAACGATCTATAGCCTTTGTGCCACGACTAGGAATTTCACCAAACGACATTCCGCTGTTCCGCTGCGTGCGGTCGCGGAGCGGCTTTGACTTTGCGAAACTCGGTCGCGCTTTTAAATTTTTATCATTGCTTGTATATGCTGTTCCGTTGGGAAAATGTCAAAGTCGAGTACTGAAAGAAAAAAAAAACCGCGGCCGAGATTCGCAAAGGCAAAGCCGCTTCGCGACCGCACGCAGCGGAACAGCGGAATGTCGTTCGGTGAAATTCCCGCTCTGGGACACCGACTATATAAACTGAGTTTTTTATATTCCCAGGATAAACTATAACTTCCTTTTTAGGAAATTACGAAGGCGACTGCTTCAAGTTGCGAGAAAACGTCGCTCAGAACTTGTACGCCCCTTGGCTCCTGGCCAGCGTTTGTCAACCTGTCGGACTTCATTTCACTTATGTTGGCACTGGCGACGTCTTCGGCGCTTCTGAAGACCTGCAAAAGGTTATAAGTGGCCACTATAGGGTGATAATATTCACTCCTTCTTAAGTGGTTCCTCAGAGAACTGATGATCTTTATTCTTTTATAAGTGGTCGCTAGAGGATTGATAATCTTCATTTCTTCTTAAGTGGTCCCTATAGGGTTATGGTTTTCATCCATTTGTAAGTGGTCCCTATAGGACTGATGGTCTTCATTCCTTCATAAGTGGCCCCTATAGCATCTTTACTCCTTCGTAAGTGGCCCCTATAGGATAATTACTTCATTTCTCTGTAAGTGGTCACTATAGCATCTTTACTCCATCATAAGTGATCACTATAGGGTTGATGATCTTCATTTCTTTGTAAATAATCGCTGTAGCTGTTTTTGGGGTGGTAACTGGGAGCTTGGGAGCTTGGGAGTTGGGACTCGGGACCTGGGAGTTGAAAGTTGGAGCTTGGGACGTGAAACTTGAGAGTTAGGGCTTGGAACCGGGGAGTTGAGAGTTGGGCCTGGGAGTTGAGAGTTAGGGCTTGGGACTTGGGAGTTGAGACTTGGGACTTGGGACCTGGTAGTTGAGAGTTGGGACTCGCGACCTGGGAGTTGAGAGTTAGGGCTTGGGACCTGGGAGTTGAGAGTTAGGGCTTGGGATCTGGGAGTTGAGAGTTGGGCTTGGGACCTGGGAGTTGAGAGTTGGGGCTTGAGACCAGGAAGATGAGAGTTAGGGCTTGGGATCTGGGAGTTGAGAGTTGGGCTTGGGACCTGGGAGTTGAGAGTTGGGGCTTGAGACCAGGAAGATGAGAGTTGGGCTCGGGACCTGGGAGTTGAGAGTAACAATCCTCACTCCTTCTCAAGTGGTCCCTTCAGGGTGATAATTTTCCTTTATAAAAGTCACAAAACCAACTTTAATGTTCAAGTAGTCCCTAGAGAAGTGATTTTCGTCAAGAATTCCCAAAAATCGACGGAATTTAGACCCTCTTTTCCATAGTCAGAATAGAAAAACTTTCCCGAGATTCATTTAAAAATCTAATTTAGGAAGAAGACGAAGGAAAAAACGCCGAGACTTCCTACACGGCGGTTAAAAGACACACCGAGAAGCTTCTCCGGCATTTTGAAGGTCTTTTTTGTGATTATTATTGATTTATTGATTTTTTAAGGTACCCTTCAATGTCGAGTACAGTTTCCAGTCAATGGGAAAGCTGAGGAAGAAAATCCGCTTTTCAAGGTTTTTTAAAAAAAATTTCTATGACGTTTATGGAAAGAAAATCCAACGTAAAATTCTTAGGAACTCCAAAGTGGTCCCTATAAGGGCCTTTGAAGGTTCCCCTTTAGAAGCCACTTTACCAACCCCTATAGGGGCGACTTAAGCTAACAAAAGTGGTCCCTCTAGGGTTTTTCCCTCCTCTGCGACCACTTCACCACCCCCTTTAAAGGACCACTTAGCTAACAAAAGTGGTCCCTCTAGGGTTTTCTGTTAGTGGCCCCTCTAGGAGAGCATTCTAGTGGTCCCTAGAGGGACAAAAAAAAAGCTTTTTTTCCCCAATAAAACAAAGAAAATGCGCCCTAAGGAACAAACCTACAGTATTTTTTTTTTACTTCTGATTCCCTTTTCAGATCCAAAACGAAGCGCCAAACCCTCAAGCGGTCACTTCAGTGACAATCCTCCCCGAGTGTCTACCTCTCATACTCGATTTGGCATTAAAGAAGTTGATTTTTGGCGCGAAAAATTTATCGAAAATTATTATTTTCAGAAAAACGGGTGTTTGGAACACTGCCAATAAAGGAGCTATAACATTTGGGGAAATTAATCAACTTTTGGGAAAATCCAGTGGATCCAATAATGTGAGTTTAATACCGGAAAAGTTTTAGAAAAGCAAAAAAATATCACGAAATAAATCAAATAACTGCTTTCGAGACGAAAAAACCGATTTTTCATAAATTTCCCGCTACTAGAAAAAAAATTGGACGCACTTGGAATGGCTTAACACAACGCGGTTGCATCAAAACCAATCCGACTTTCAGTTACTTGCGCTCAAACGTATCTTACAGCATCTGCACTGCCAAAGTCGGAAGTGCGGAAAACGGGTGCAAAATGGCCCCTAAAAGGGTTCCGTTTTGCGGCCTTTATTGAGCCTTTCTTGGTGGGCTGAAAAGCCTTAAAAAAGGATCCAAAAAGGGTCCAAAAAGGGTGCTAAAAAGGCCATTAATGATTTCCAATGTTATTACTGTAGCTCATTTTGGTTCATACACGGTCACTGTTATAGATTATTCTCAATTTGGAAAATTTCGTGTTTCTCAAAAAGGTCCAAAAAGGGTGGATAAAGGCCGATGAAAGGCCGGAAAAAGGAAACCATTGCCACCCATTTAGGAACAATCAATGGAACCCTTTTGATCCATCACGGACTTTCAAAGGGCCCTTCCTTCTATTCTGACCGCAGCGCAACCGCAAAGCTCTGAGCCATTCCAAATGCGACCAGAATATTCAGCGTTTTTGAAAAAAACGAATTTTCTTACAAAATTTTTCAGAACAACGACACCAAAAACACCAATCCTACCTCGAATTCCGTCGTCCTTGACACTTCAAAGCTGGAGTCCGAGTTTCCAGAACTTCCCACGGCCAGGGAAAGCCTCAAGACGTGCATAACTCGAATGAATCTATGAATTTTTTGAAATTTCACGAATTTGTTTCAATAGTACGTTGATTAATAAAGCAATCATACAAAAAAATCTTTTAATGCAGCAAAAAGTGAACTGGAACAAAATGTCCCAATTTTTTGGTTTTGAAATCAATTCCTATAAAAATCATTCCATAGTTACAAAAGCTATGGTCGCACTTGGAATGACTGCAGTTTCTTCGAATTGCGCCCGACTTGAAACGGTTTACGCGCGAAAGTAGCCAGGAGACTTGTCAAAAAGTTGACTGGGCCGCAGCGCGACCGCGACGCCTAGAGCCATTCCAAATGCGACAGAAAGATGCTCAAGTTTTAATGCAAGGAAGAAATCAATCTTTGGAATGGCTCGACGCGGTGCAGTTGCTTGCACCCGACTCGATACGGTTTGCGCGCGAAAGTGTCGCAAAGAAGTAGAATTGAACCGCACCGCGCTGAGCAATTCCAAATGCGACCAAAAAGAGGCAAAGGACGTGTAAATTATCAGGATAGATTCTATTTGGTTCCAAAAGAACTTGATGAACAACCAATCAAAAAACACACAAGTTTTATTCAAGAAAGAAGGAATATCAACGGGGAACGGGGACGGACTCGTCGTGAAGGTTGATCTGCTGCGACAAGTGCGCCTTGCTGTTGTACATCTCCAGCGAGTAGTTGCCGTAGTTGTCCGCGATTTTCGCTGCAAAATTGGCACGTTTTTTGGATCAAAATAAGGTGAAAATATATATAAATTCCCCAGCCCCAACTCCCAAGCTTCAAGGCCCAAGCTTCTAGTCCCAAGTCCCAAGCTACAAGTCTCAAGCTCCCAATTAACACTCTAGAAACAGTAAAACCTAAAAAATCGGGTCCCTTTCTTGCTTTGTTCAACTAAATATGGCTGAAACATCAATAAAAAAAATTCCCAAGCCCCAAGTATCAAGCTTCAAGTCCCAAGCTCGCAAGTCCCAAGCTCCTAATTCACACTCTAGAAACAGTAAAACTTAAAAAACCAGGTCCCATTCTTGCTTTGCTCAACTAAATATGACTAAAAATACAAAAAAAAAATATAGATATATGTATAAATTCCCAAGCTTCAAGTCCCAAGTCTCAAGTCCCAAGTCCCAAGCTCCTAATTCACACTCTAGAAACAGTAAAACTTGGAAATTCGGGCCCCATTCTTGCTTTGTTCAACTGGATATGGCTGAAACATCAAAAAAACACATATATAAATTCCCAAGCCCTAAGTCCCAAGTCCCAAGCTACAAATTCCAATTACCACTGAAGAAAAAGTAAGACTTAAAAAATCAAAACAAACGACCCATTTTTGCTCGAGAAAGGGTCAGAAATATCAAGATCCTCACCAATCGTGCACTGTCCGGGGTACTTCCAGCCGCCAAAGAGCGTACTGTGGATGCTGGCGATCGGACTTCCGTGCGAGACCAGCAAAATGTTCCCTGAACCTTTCCCATTTCAGGATTCCTAGGAAAAAGTCCAACCCGAGGAGAACTTCCTGAGGAGCGCCTTGATCGTGACGCTGATCCGGTTGGTGCAGCCGAGGTCGCCGGGTCCTTCCGGCGGGAGGGTCGTGTAGACCGGCTGGTAGGTGTCGTCGATCCGCGACATCATTTCCCTTAAATGGACCCTTGAGATGGTTATGGTACTTTGTAGAGCTTCTCTTCATTTTTCAAAGGGTCCAACTGGTACAGAAATCCTTTGATAAAATTGATTCGTGGCATTATTTCCCTTAAGTGACCCCTTGGAAAACTTATAGCATCTTGCAGATTTTCTCATTTTGCTTCAGAGGGTCTCACTTGAATCTTAAAGGCATGAAAATTCCCATTTTCGAATAAAAAATGAAAAAGAAGCGCATTTGTGCAAGCAAAGTTGCTCCACGGACAAATATATTTCCCTTAAATGGCCCCTTGAGTCATTTATAGCATTTTCATAAAGTCCAACTCAAGCGTACAGAAGACCCTCAATTGAAAAAATTCAAAAAAAAAAAACAAATAAGAACATTCTCGGCAGAGGGCACTTGTGCAGAGCAAAGTTGCTCCACGGACAACTACCGATATTTTTTTCCTTTTTTTGCTCTATTTATTTCATTTTAATTTCTTGGCAATGAGAACTTGGAAAACAGCTACCAGGTTCTACCACAAACATTATGGAGGAAAGGCAGATTACGGTAAGCGATTTTTGGTGTCTAGACACGTTTTTAAAAAGGCCACTTTTCTCAAAATTACGGACTTTTGGCCTTTCATTCTTTTTTTATTTATTTTTAATCAGAGCAAAAGAAAAACCCACTTCAACTTTTTCCATATTCGGATACCCGGGAGGCGACTTGCAGCTTGACAAGTTCTCAGAGAGCCCTGAAAATTTTCGAAACGGCTCAAAAAAATGTAAAAAAACTTCTGAAAAAATTTTTTTCCAAATTCTCACCAGGTTCAATGTAGACCGGAGCCGTGCCGGGATGAACGCTGAGAATTTCGCGAGCCGTTTCAACGCATCTGAAGTGTTTTTTTTTTTCAAGGAAGGGGCAAAAAAGGTACCTAGTGAAAGGTGATGTGATAACGTAATCAATGTTCTCGTTGCACAGCCGAAGGGCCACTTCACGAGCTTGTTGGAGGCCGCGCAGTCTTCAAATTCTTCTGTCTATTCCGTGTAAAATTCAAAGTTGTCGCCCTCATTTCGAGGCTTCCACTTAAAGGCATAAGGGCAGTAAAAAACGGTGTTTCAGTTCAAAGCAGTACTTTGTAGAGCTTTTCATTGCGAATCGGACGGTGAACTTGGAAACGTACAGAACTTCCTAGTTTTGGAGAAAAAATTATTCAAAGTCGGAGGGAGGAAAGTTTGAGTTCCCGCAAAAAGGGCGCTTTGCAGTAAAGTTGCTCTATGGACAACAGGCTTCGCCAACTTTCGGATTTTCGCCTTTTTCTTCGTTTCTTTCAAATTTCAATTTTTCTGTTGTCACCGAAGTTCTTTTCGTCACAAAAGCTTTCTATTCATGTATAATTTGCAAACTTTGATCGCAAAAATGCTTCTTTGGTGAAAAATGAGGATTTTACATCGGTTTCGATTGGGATAGCGTTATTTTGTGTTTCCTTTATTATCGGTGTGTGTTTTTTGTTTGACTAAACGTTTTTTCAGAAAAGAAACCCTTAATTTGAAGCAGACATCCGGTTGTTTCACACAGAATGCGAGTCTAATGAGACGTCCGCAACATCGCGTGCACGGCTACTGTAAACTTTTGTCCGTAGGCCAATCCAAAGCTTTTTTCAAAATTAAAGGCGGGAAAGTAAAATCGCGTTTTTCTTTTAAAGTTGTCACATCTGTGATTTTTTTGAGTACACCATTCGATTCGCAAAGAAAAACTATATAAGATACTGCTTTTACCTGAAACCCCATTTTTTACTGCCCCTATGCCTTTAAAGCACAGTCTCCAGTTTCTACTACAAAATCCGCTACATTCTGAGTTCGTCAGGACGCAAATGAATGGACTTCGCGCAGAAGACCATGCTTTCAACTTGATCAACTACACGTTCAACTTCTAGTTCGCCAAAGGCGGTTTTCCGTAGCTTGTTCACCGCCTGGTCGATCCAGCAGTTTTTCTGAGCAACCCTGTTCGAAAACAGCCTTTAGAAGCTTACGAAACGCGCTCCATAGCTAATCTCAATCAAAGAATCTAACTCAAATCGTACAAAAGACCCTCAAAAAAATTCGCGGAAGAGCGCATATGTGCAGAGCAAAGTTGCTCTACGGACAACGATATTTTTCATTTCTTGCTTTTTGTGTACCAGAAAAACCGAAATTTGAAAGGAAACTTATTTTCGCTTTTTTTTTTTTGAGAGATGACCAGGATTAACACTTTATTTCACCAATATGTTCAAAAATATTCTCTTTGAAAAATCCATCATCAGATGTCTTTGCACCCCTTCCAAGTCTGATGGAGTGCGTTAAGCTGGGAGGCTTGGCCCAAGCTTTGAGGCTTATTTTTGCTCGGGTTTGGGCCGGGCCAAGCTTCAAAAAATTTTCGAATTTCATTTACTCCTTGCCAGGGCCGGGCTAAAAATGGAAAATCAAACTTTTCTGTCATTCAAACGAAAAAACTTCCTTTAATAACTCAGTCCAAAAAATAGCCTTCCAATTCTCTCAAAGTGCGCTCTAAAGCTAATCACAATTTTCGCGCGTTTTGTAACCTTATTTGCCAAACTTTTCATCCATTACCAAGTCTGATGGAGAGCGTTAAGTTGGGAGGCTTGGCCCAAGCTTTGAGCCTTATTTTTGCCCGGGTTTGGGCCGGGCCAAACTTCAAAAAATTTTCGAATTTCATTTACTCGCCATATTAAATTTCAAGTGGAAAAACTTCCCAAAAGCGTCATTTTTGTGGTAGAAAATTTGAATTTTTCTAGCCGAGCCGTCCGTTTTCGCTCAAGGGCCTTGCCAGGCCCGGGCTAAAAATGGGCGTACCCCCTTGACTGACGGGCCGGCCCTCGGGCAAGCCTCAAATGCATGGAAGACACAAACAACCGTACGTGAGCGGCGGATCGTCCCAGATGTCGGGGTTGTTCGCTTTCCACTTCTTGTCGACGTTGTCGACGCGTTCCCCGTGCCGCACCACCCAAATCGTCCGCTTCGAGGCGCTCATCTCGACGCAAATAAAGCCGATTCAACATCATTCCAGTACGTCACGTTCACGTCTGAATTTTTTTATTTATATTCCGTTTTCCTTTCGATTATTTTCAACAAAACTGAGAAAAAGTAATTTATATCACGATTCATTGAATAAAACAAAGTTCTTTCTAACTCAAAATCAAAGATCATAGCTTCAAACCTCCAAAAAACACACTTTGACACCCAAAACAACTGAAGAAAAAACGGCAAAAAAGAGCTGAAGAGAGTGGGATTCGAACCCACGCCTCCGAAGAGACTGGTGCCTTAAACCAGCGCCTTAGACCGCTCGGCCATCTCTCCGCCGGCAACCGTTGCTCCAAATCTTCACTCTACCCCGCCGGAGGTAGCCATTGTGCTAGGGAAATCTTCATTTTTAAAGTTTATTTTTTTCCGATTTTTGAGTATTTATTAGTTTTTTGGGATTTAAAACGGTTAAATTAAATTGAACACAGCATTTGAACAGACTTTTTATAAATATTGTGAAAAAAAAATGATAACAAATTCCTTTTAGGGATTTTTTCTGGCCGCGAAAAACCGAAGTTATGGTCCATTTTGAGCGAAAGATTCAAGTGGTCACTCAAGGGAACTGTTCTGCTTTGTGCTTTGACGCCTTCTTCAAACCTAGCTTTTGGGAAAAAGTACAAAAAACCTTTAAAAGTCGTTAGGAAAGTCTTTTAAACTCATTTTTTCGAAAAACTACCGTTTCCTGCCTTGAATTTGATTTTAAATAAGCTTATACTAGTTCAAAACCAATGAAAAAACTCAGAAACATCCTCTTTTCTCAAAAAAAAAAGCTTGCGCAACATTTTTGTTATGATTGAGTGGGGCGTCTGGCGCGCACAGGTCAGTTATGATACCTTTAGTATTGTCTCGAGGTAATTTGAGATCTTTCGATGTTCTTCTGTCAAGTATATCACCTTTCTTGCAACCTATTCTTTTTCTACAGGTTCCATCTAGTTTTTGGCATGTCTTTGTTATTTTTTGCTCTTGACCTGTTTTAAAAAAGTTCTCAAGAGAGGGGGGGGGGTTTAAGACTTTTTTTCGAGTTTTGCACCCCTCCCGGTCAATAATTAAAAAGCTCTCTGCCTGAAGAGACGCCGGACAAGCAAAGAAAATATCTTTCTCTGGCGCCTCTTTAATCCACCCACTCTCTCACTTTTCAGAAAAAAATTTATAATTTTGATTGAAAATGTATTGGGGGAGTGTTCAATTAAAGCTTTTTTAAAAAAAGCGATTTTTTTCTGGGGTTTTGATAAATGTTCTGAAAGCCTATGGAGACATTTTGAATCTCACGAATAATTGGAAAAAAATGAGCAAAAAAAGCGGAAAAAAATTAGCGTTTTTTTGAGGGGGAAGTTTAATTAATGTTTTTAAAAAAAGTAATTTTTTTCTGAGGTTTTGATAAATCATTTATGAAGTATATGAAGACATTTTTGAATCTTACGAATATTTGGAAAAAAATGAACAAAAAAAGCGGGAAAAAAATTAGCGTTTTTTTGAGGGGGGGTGTTCAATTAAAGCTGTTTAAAAAGCGATTTTTTTCTGGAGTTTTTGATAAATTGTTCTAAAAGCCTATGGTGACTTTTTGAATCTCACGAATATTTGGAAAAAAATGAGCAAAAAAAGCGGAAAAAAATTAGCGTTTTTTTAAGGAGGTGGGGGAGTGCTCAATTAAAGCTTTTTTAAAAAAAGCGATTTTTTTCTGAGGCTTCGATAAATTTTTTTCTGAATGCCTATGGAGACGTTTTGAATCTCACGAATATTTGGAAAAAAAATGAGTGAAAAGCGGAAAAAAATTAGCGTTTTTTTGAGGGAGAGGGGGTTCAATTAAAGCTTTTAAAAAAAGCGATTTTTTTCTGAGGTTTTGAAAAAAATTGGGGGCATTTAGGGCTTTTTCAAAAAAATCGTTTGTGCCATCTCTAACTTTTTTTCCTCTTTGATAAAAACCGCAGGAAATCGGATCGATGAGCCGCCGATTGATTAACATCCATCAAAATGTTGTAAGAAACCGGGAAAACGTGGTAAAGGGCGAGATAGAGATGCAGCAGGGCGATAGGGTCCCTGAGTCATGAAAAACGGAAAAATGGTCAAAAGGGCCAAAAAACAGCTCAACAACTGACCGGCCGGACCTCGTTTCTTGAGGTTTTCGTAGGATAAAAGCTCTATTTTTCAGTTTTTTTTCGTTTTTTCTATTTTTCATGAAATTTCCAATCTCTTCATTGAGTTTCAAAGCAGCCAGAACTTGATTTCTGGAATTTTCAAAAAAAATTTTTCTTAACTTTTTATGATGTTCCCACTGTATTCATAGAGTTTCAGAGCATTTTTATTCCAACTGGAGAAAAAAATTCCTTTTTTTATTTAAAAAAATCAAAAAAATGTTAAAGCATTGATTGAACACCCCCCCCTTAAAACCTCCATTTTTTTCCACTTTTTTTCCATCAATTTCTCCAAATATTTGTGCAATGCAATATTTCTCCATAGACTTTCAGAGCAACTTATAAAAAAACCCCAGAAAAAATCGCTTTTTTTTAAACCATTATTTGAACACCCCCACACCCCCCAAATAAAGCTCCTTTTTCCGTTTTTTGCTCATTTTCTCCAAATTTTGTGCAATTCAAAATGTATCTATAGGCTTTCAGAACAATTTATCAAAACCCCAGAAAAAAGTCGCTTTTTTTAAACCATTAATTGAACGGATCGCTTTTTTTAAAAGCATTGAAAGGCCAACCGGCGCTGGTTTCTCGAGGCTGTCACTAAAAAAAGCTTTCTTTTCTCAGTTTTTGCTGGTTTCCCACTCATTTTTTCACTGTTCAACCTTTTCGATTTTTTTAAAAATACATATTATTCAAGACATAATTTTGAAAACTCCCTGATCTTTTTACATCAAAACTTTGAAATTTCCTCGCAATTTTCTGGTCTCTGCATCATTTTTTTTTCTTTTTTTGAATTACTAAATTTTTGCGTAGGGTTTGGAATTTTCTATAAATTTGAATTTTCAAAGTATTTATCCTTAACTATGTGACGCCGTTTGGAAAGAATGTCTCCGCGCAATCAGCCATTGCACGGCACCTAGTAGCGTGGTCACGGCGTTTTTTTATTACGCAAGGTCAAGACTTCTCGTAAATTATGATGCTTAGGGTGTAAGCACACCGAGACGCACTATCGCATACTCAAATTGTTTTTTTCAATTTTAGAATTTGCAATTTTAGGATAATAATTTCTGAAATGTTCGAATTCTTGTCAGTTTGAAGAATATGATGTGAAAAAAACATTCACTTACGTTAAAAAAAATTTAGGAACGATTTCGGAAGGGGAAAACTCTAAATTACTGATTACAAAATAAAAAAACAAAAAAATATTACGAAGGTGAATCAGCTCCCATTGAATAAGAAATTGTAAATAAGAAAAAAATATTGAAATGAGAAAAAAATTCGAGGAGCAAATGAAAAAAAGAAACATTTTTGTATACTTTGGAAACCTAGCTTCAGAAAAAAACAAATGATGGATAGAAAGCAGAAATTTCAGAAAAAAAACCTCGTATGGCGAAATGTTTGTTTAAATGCGAAAAAAACCATGAAAGAACTAGAAAAAAAGTATAATTTAGATGATTCATATAACAAAAATCTTCAAACTGCATCAGCAAATTCAGTTTGGCTTTAATTTACACGAAACTGGTTTCAAACTACGCCAAAGGAACTGGATAATAACTTGTACTTATAGAAAAAACGTTGAAAGACGTATTAATGAAGAAAAAAGCAAAAAATATGCTTTTTTTCAATTAACTCTTTCCGTAAATCTTGCGAGAGCTTTAAAGGGTGGGTCTTGTATTCCAAAAACGGGTCCTAAACAGATCAAAACTACTGCTGCCGTACGATTTACGGCGCCCGCCCATGGTATTTTTTTCTGCATTTTCTTTCACTGACAAGAACGCCGTGTGGTGCAATGGCTAGAGCGGTTGCCTGCAAAGCCTATGATGAAGGTTCGAATCTTTTTGCCGCTATCATTTTTTTGCCATTATTTTATTGGACGGAGTCCTATGAAAATATCGTAATTGCATGATCAAAACCGTTATAAAAAACGTTTGGTGGCCCGGACACTTATCTTCCGAACGGTGTCACGAGTTCAAAGAAAAAAAACTTTGAAAAATCGGCCTACAATCATCCGAACCTGATCATTCCGAACCGAAATCCGAACCAAGTGTTCATCCGAACCTAATCATTCCGAACCAATTGAGTATTCATTCCGAACCAATTGAGTAATCATCCGAACCAAAAAGGGAATTTTTCATGTGTTCATTCCGAACCAAAAACATGTTCATTCCGAACCAAAGGTACAGTTTCTTCCGTTGATTTCTCAAATTTTTTGAACAAAATTTCTCTTTTTGCAATGATTTGTCATTTTTAGATGTACTTCAAGTCGAGAAAAATCTGCCGGCTCTTTTTTTCGAGTCATGATGTTCCAAACCAAAATCAGAACCAAGTCTCAGGCGAACCCATCCCAACGCGGACCATCTCATGCTCACTAGAACCAATAGTTTTGAAGCTTCGCCCAACAAATCGTCGGTAGAGTCCGTGAATTTAGAACATATCAACAACTGGATTCATCTGTTTTTCCTTTTTCGTGAATTTTTGAACATTTAGAAACTGAACTTTATCAATAATTTTTTTCAAGACTGTTCAATTCTTCTGCAATTAAGGTCACCTTTTTTTATAGCTCATAGGAGAACAAGATTTTTCAGCGGGATTAGATTCCTTCGAATCCACATCGATGAAGTATCGGAGTAAAAGAAAACGATGAATGTTGGTCCATCATCAAGAAAAAGTGCGAACGGCTCATTAGGAGAGATTTCACTACAGTTTGAAAAAAACGGTATTTTTTTCTTCTAACTTTCTTTCGGGCTCAAAAAGTGAAACTGTTCTCTTTCATGCCGCCATATCCTGTGCAATAAGGTGAAAAAAAATTCCACGATTTTTC